CCAGATCCTCCAGCTCTTGGTCCATCCATTGCTCTTTCCACCATACGGTGCTGCCTTTCCTGAGTGGGACGGGTGAGCTTGTGAGAGCAGGCTTCCCAGGGCAGAACTTTCAAGTGAAAGTCATCATACTCATGTCTAAACAGTCCCATAATTAATTTTTGCCTAACTTCATGAAGGAGTTTATAATTTGGAAAGAAAAGCTTTGGCAGCTTTACCACCCATGGGGAGAAAAAAAGAAAAGTAGAAACCTATTGCCATCCAATCGATTCCAACTCTTAGCAACCCTATAGGGTGGAATAGAACTGCCCCATAGGGTTTCCAAGTCTTGACAAAAGCAGGCAGCCATATCCTTCTCCCACAAGCTTTACCACAGATGGCAGAAATGCTAAGGTCCAGCATAAGGGTGTAGGTCATGTGTTTTGAGGCCTGCATCCATCTTACTGAGAATAGAATATCATGGAGCATATATGGTTTTCCATAGCTTTGTGGTGGAAAACTTGAAGTTACAAAGCCTTGAACCATACTGGGAACTATATCATTTAAAAGTACACACACACACATACATACACACATACAGAGAGAGAGAGCCCATATTGGTGGTTCAGTGGTGGAATTCTCACCGTCTGTGCAGGATGCTCAGGTTCAATTCTTGGCCATTATACCTCATCCTCAGCCACCACCCATTTGTCTGTGGAGACTTGTGTGTTGCTATGATGCTGAACAGTTTTCAGCAGAGATTCCAGACTAAGATGTGCTAAGAAGAAAGACCTGGTGATCTACTTCCAGAATTAACCAATGAAAACCCTATAGATTGGATGGCATAGGTCCCGGTAGCATTTCATTCCATGGAGTCAACATGAATCAGAGACTGACTCCCATAGCAGCTAACAACAACACACACATATATCTACACACATACACACACACATATGGCCTGTCTCACTGTGGAACTGCGTGCTTTTCTGTGTCTATTTATATCTTAATGTTTCCTATTCCCTGGCCCTCTTCATCTCTCAGTCTCTCATCTCTTTCTGTCTCTTTCACACACACAACCCCAATGAATCCAATAAAAATGTTTAAAATGATAAAATAAAACTTTTAAGAATTCATGCAGGCAATTTCTCATTTATAAGTGCTAAGACCTTAGTTTACATTATCAGTGTGTTTACTGAACACCTGCTAGGCACAGAGCAACCCCAGATCGGCCACTAGTAAATTACAAAGAAAGAAAAAGACACAGTTTCTTACTTCGGAGAGTTTACAGTCTAATGGAGATAACAAACCGACAAATTCAATACAGCATTGTCACACATGGCATCCACGTATGCACACAGCTATTTTTACCAGGGCACATAAGTGCTTATGCATTTGGGAAAGGTGGAAGGACACTTCTATTCGGTACTATCACAATGGCGAAATGAAAATTTCTACCCAGGGATTTAGGCTTTTTTGTTTATTTTCCCCTGAGACCAACAGAAGCATGTTTTCTGTCTCCATTTTAGCTTTGGGAAAAGAGAGAGCATCTGGACGCCTCACTCATATGAGAGGGCTGAGCTTTTTGAAGCTCTTCAGAGCTCATCTGCCCAGACAAGTGCTTTAGTGTGTGTGAGAGATACCGTCCCAGTGGTTTGAAGGGTGGGAATATGGAGGGATATTGAAGGCATAAAAATAAGTAAGTGAAACAAATATGCAGTAAAGGATTATGTGGAGGGATACATACATACACACAGAGGGCAGTCTAGGAAGAAAAGGTCATAACCCCCAGAATCCTGAGACGCTGTATCCTTGGGGCTGCAGGAAACATGATGAGCAGGGCCAGAAAAGGACTCTTTTTCTACAGGGGAATGAAACATCCAAGTCTTCAGTATCCGGAATATTCTCTTCACTTTCAGGTTTTCAAACACCTGGAAGTAGCACAACCTGGCTGGGTATCTGAGGAATTCCTAGGGGCATTTCTTTCAAAGGACAGGTTTAACAGCCACAAAGGTCACACGACTAGACATCTTTGAGGCGGGTAACAAAGGTCAGAAAAACAGATGATTAAAGCAAACCCTTGGAATTTGGAGTCCATAGCTATAGCCCGCAGCCACTTAAAGATCCCTGAGTGTTTAATTTGAGGACTTGATCTTTCTTTCAATAGATCTCTGTTGTTGTTGTTGTTGTTTGTTATGTGCCGTCGAGTCGGACCCGACTCATAGCGACCCCTCCTTGGGTTTCTGAGGCAGTATCACTACGGAAGTAGATTGCTCTATCTTCCTTCCAAGGAGTGGTTGGTGGATTTGAACTGCCAGCCTTCTGGTTAGCAGTCAAGTGCCTTAGGCACTATGCTACCAGAGATCTCTAGGGAGGAAAAAAGGGGATCAAATCTAGAAAGACCAGTCAAGCATGTAGTTGAGATTAGTTTGAAAAGAAACCAAATTCACAGGCTTATGCTATTTTAAATAAATGCTTGTGAGACTCATTTATTCATTCAGTAAACACTTTTTATGCTGATGTGCCAAGTATTTTGCAAGGTACAGAGAATACAGTAGCAAACAGGCCATACAAGGAAGATATACATATACAAGTCTCTGTTGAGCCCACGTATCTTGGGAGATCTTCCTGAAATCTCACATTTAGGCAGGTGGTAAAGAGCCCTGGTAGAGCAATGGTTAAGTGTTCAGCTGCTAACCAAAAGATTAGTAGTTTGAACCCCCAGCTGCTCTATGGGATAAAAGACTTGGTTATCTGCTCCCATGAAGATTACCAAAATCCAAACCAAACTCATTGCCGTCAACTTGATTCCCACTCATGGTGACCTTGTAGGACCAAGTAGAACTGCCCCACAGGGTTACCAAGGCTGTAAATCTTTATGGAAGCAGACTGCCGTTTCTTTATACCAAGCGAGCAGCTGGTAGGTTCAACTCACTGGCCTTCCAGTTAGCAGCTGACCATTTAACCACTGCGCCTCCAGGGCTTAACCTCATAAAGATTCCACCCCACCCAAAAGCCACTGCCATCAAGTCAATTCTGATTCATAGCAACTCCCATTATATTTCCAAGGCTGTAAATCTTTATGGAAGTAGATTGCCTCATCTTCCTCCCACGGAGCAGCAGGTGGGTTTGAACTGCCGATCTTCTGGTTAGCAGCCAAATGTCTTACTCATTAAGGCACCGTGTTGTTGTTGTTGTTATGTACCCTCGAGTCGGACCCGACTCATAGTGACCCCTCCTTGGGTTTCAGAGGCAGTATCACTACGGAAGTAGATTGCCCCATCTTCCTTCCAAGGAGTGGCTGGTGGGTTTGAACCACCAGCCTTCTGGTTAGCAGTCAAGTCCCTTAGGCACTATGCTACCAGATAGCTCCTTTTATAAAGATTACAGCCTAGGAAACCTTAGGGGGCAGTTCTGCTCTGTCGTGTAGGATTGCTATGAGTCAGAAATGACTCCGCTGCCCTTAACAACAGGTTATCCAGGGCCTCTGGCACTAGAGAGGATTGTTGGCCATTCTGAGACCACTGAGAAGGGTTTCTAAAGTGGAGGGGAGTCTGTTGTTTTCAAAGAACTGGGAAGGAATGGGTTGGTAAGTCCTCTTTTGCTGTTTTGGGTTGACTCCCAGGCTTAATGCCCGGTCTCCACTGAGAAGTTCTGGGAAAGCAGTGAGTGTGGTCCAAGGGGCCCAGGGGAGCTCGATGTGCTTATTTGTTTGTTTTTCCCAAATAAGATAATAAATCCCTCCAGGAACTGCAGGTACCTAATGCTTCGTTTGTAATGACTTGGGCAGAGGCTTCCCTGATGCTGACATTTTCAACAGGCTTTTCAGCCTTGTGGCTGGCATTTCTCCCAGGAACAAGCAAGCCTGACCTCATTAGAAGCCGAACATCTCAAACATCTTTGTTTTTAAATTCACTCTCAAAGCTCCAAATGCCCAAAGTGATTTTTTCCCTTTTCCCATTCATTTCTGCGCTCTCATGGACTAAGATAGGAGTTTAATCAGATAGTTTCAGATTCAATTACAAGGAAGGCAGCAGTGTGATTTCCTAAGAACCAACTAGTGCCCAGGGGTCCTTTTAGGTCTGCGTCCTTTTATAAGAAAAGGAAGAAAAATAAGAAACTGAAAAATCCTATTTGGCCAAATGTGAAATAACTTGAAAGGTTCCAATTTGGGATCAAAACTCAAAGCCAGTTTGGCTGTGGAGAGTTCCCAGCTCCCAAGCTGCATCTGCAGTATACTTTGTTCCCAAGTCAAAACACATTCAGGTACAAGAAGTGCCTGGAATAAGAGGTACTTGACATGATTTCTCCCTCCAGGAACCCTGCCTTCACTCAGAAGCGGCTCAGGACTTCAAAGTGAGTCCTGTGTAGGGAACAGAAAAGACATAGCTGAGAAATCTAGGCCTTATTAGATCAGAGACCCTGCCTGGCTTAGGAAGGTAGAGGGAGGCTCCAGGCTATAACACTCAAGAGTTGGCCTGTGGGACCCATCCTGTGCCCATGGGACCCAGGGAGCTGCAGATCAATGCTGCCTTTCCTGTTTTACAAATGAAAAATTCAAAGCACAAAATGGAGTCCAGCCTCCCAAGAGAAGCACGTGGTAACTTGTTGTCCACCATGAACTCAAGTGTTTGCACTTCCCCAAACTCCCCAGTTCCTGGTGCTTATGCCCATCCTTGGCCTCCTCTCCCCAGCCCCCAGGCAAACAAGGGCCAGAAGGGATCTCTCTCACCTTCTGAAGTTCCCATTCACTGGTGACCCACAGTAAGAAAGCACTGAATTGGGTCCCTTTGTCAACAAGAAACTATTCTGCCTTGGATTTTAAGTCAAACAAGGGAAGACAGGAGAAAAGTCTAGCCAGGGATTAAATGACGCTGATTTTGAATCATTGATTATAGAATACAGAGCCAGAAAGCCTTAAATATCACTGATTTGCCTCTCCCCACACCCCCACTGCCCCCTAGCAACTCCTTTGGTGAGATGAATTGGCAGTGCTAGAGAGGGGTGGGCCTGCCCAAGGCCTGCAGCCCAGAGTGCCAGTGGGCTCCCTCCCACCTCCAGCCCCCAGCTCTGGCATCACCAGCCTGCCTCGCACAAGGAGGGAGCATGCTATTCAGTCTCCTCTCCACTCCTCACCTACATTCTTGACCAGGGGGAACCACTGTGGAGAAACATGGACTTCATTTTCTTGTGTTACTCCCTGCATCGCCTGTTACTCCTTACATTCCTACCCCTGGCACATGGGATATAGTCAACAAGTCGTAGCTATTATAACTAAAGCTTCCTTTGCTCCATCTGATGTGTTTTAGGGATGCCTGCTCTGTCCCAGGCACTGTGGAGGCGCCTATTATACTTGATCCCTCATCCTAGCAATAGTAATGAGAAATAAGTGCACATAAGGAATGAGGCTCAAAGAATTTACCATACCCTTTCCCAAAGTCACCCTGTAGGAAAGTGACAGAATTTGGGACTCCTGACCCAGCCTGGGTGCCTACTGAGCTCACACCTTCTGCTGACACTGCTCTTCCTTTGTACTTCTTGGACCCAGAGATCCTGCTGGAAATTAGGATTGTGATTCTAATCTTAGGTCTGCAATTTACAGGCCCAGAAGTCTATTTCCTCAGGTGGAAAGAGAAGGAGTTGGAAGAGTCGGCTTGTGAGGTTCCTTACTGGGGATCACATTCTTTGACTCTGCTCTTAACTAGAACATGTGGTGCCCAGAGAGGCTGCCCTGTCCTCATACTGGTTCTAGAAGGCAGGTGGCAAAATGAAGGACTGAATGCTGACAAAATTTCCTTGAGATTCACATTCAGTCAACCCATGAGTTTCTACCAGCAGCAGAGAGGCAGGGAAAGGAAAAATGTTTGTTAGGAGTCATCTCGGTGCCAAGCACTTAACTTGCTATCTTCATTTGGTTTCAGAACAACTCCAGGTATTATTATTTTCCTCTGTACAGATAGGGAACCAGCTTAGTAACCTAGTCTTAGGTAGTGAGTTGCAGAGCCATGATTCAAATCAAGTCCTGACTTATCTCTGAAGCTGTGCTCTTTGACTGCCAGGTCCTGCCTTCTATGGGATCCCACACCCTGACCTTTGGAATCATCTGCCTAGACTGACCACTGGTGACTTGTTTTTCCATTAAGTCTTATAACCTGGATTTATTATTCATGTAAGAGGTTTTGGAGGAAGCATGCACAGTATGATTTGCTCCCAGCTGTACTGCATACATAGGAGCTCTGGTAGCGTAGTAGTTAAAGCATTCAGCTGCTAACCAAAAGGTCGATGTTGTCAAACCCACCAGCCACTCTGCCAGAGAAAGATGAGGCGGTTAGCTTCTTTAAAGATTTACAGCCTTGGAAACCCTGTGATGCAGTTCTACCCTGTCCTGTAGGGTCACTGTGAATCAGAATCAGCTCTGTGGCATTGGATTTTTTGGGTACTGCAAACAGTGTTGGACAGCATGGGAATTTTCCGTTTTTCCCTCCCTCCCTCCTTCCCAGGTACCAACCAGAGATGTACTGAGCACAGTGGGGTCATTGGTATTAGGATTTCAATTCCTGCTCACCTGAACTGTAGTGATAACACCGGTTACCAACTGGCCATCCAACACCCACCTAGGTCTCTCACTATCCAAAGTAGAACAGCGGGCCATTGGGGGATGGTCTCCCATTATCCTTTCCCGGGCCTTCTAACCTCCTGCAGAGTCACCCATGATCCTACCAGTGGCTGTATCCAATGGGAAAGGGTCAGCAGGAAATGGAGAAAGAGTCATGAATGCCCTCTTGCTCCTCTACCAATAAAGAATTAAGATCTCTGTTCATGGACAGATGGAAGGAGGGCACTGCTTTGTCTGCTTGCCCCAGGCTATACCCTTCTATCTGCTTTCTCACTGATGGGAGACATTTTATCAAAGGCTAGGGCACCCCTGTGGGGGCCATTGGTGGTTCAGTGGTAGAACTCTTGGCTTCCATGCAGGAAACCTAGGTTCAATTCCTGGCCAGTACACTTCATCTGCAGGTACCACCATCCTGTCAGTGGAGGCTATGTGTTGCCATCATGCTGAACAGGTGTCAGCAGAGTTTCCGTATCAAGATGGACTAGGAGTAGAGGCCTGGAGATCTGCTTCCAAAAAATCAGCCAGTGAGAACCCTATGGATCACAGTAGTCGGATTTGCAACTGGGGATGGTATTCAGTCGTGCATGGATTCACCATGAGTCATGGGTTGATTGACGGCACCTAACAACAGGGAATACTTGGAGTCCCCAGGTGGTGCAAACAGTTAATTTTCTTGGCTGCTAACCATAAGCGTGGCCTTTCCAGTCCACCCAGAGGCTCCTCAGAAAACATGCCTGGTGAGCTACTTACAAAAAATCAGCCACTGAAAACCCTGTGGAGCACAGTTCTACTCAGGCACACACAGGGTCTCCATGAGAGAATCTGTCCAGTGGTCCAGGCAGTTAGTTATCCAGGAAGCCAAGAGGGCCCCAGGTAGCTTTGTTCCGGCTGCCTCCTGAATGACTTGCTTTACATATTGTGTTTCCACTAAAGACTTATTTGAAGAAAAAATTTACCAGTGTTAAGTTTGAAATGCGTTCATCTAGTTCTGCCCCTTTAAGATCTTGAGGCCAGAGAAATGAAATGATTTGCCTGGGTCACACAAACATTTCTTCTCCTCAGACTCTCTGACTTCAAGTGTGTAAGTACATGACTAATTTGGAACCTTAATTATGAACCTCGCTTACAGTCTTATGGGATTGTTAGGTCTCATTCTTGCAAAGAATCTTGTTGTTGTTGTTGTTATGTGCCGTCGAGTCGGCCCCGACTCATAGCGACCCCTCCTTGGGTTTCCGAGGCAGTATCACTACGGAAGTAGGAATGCCCAACCTTCCTTCCGAGGAGTGGCTGGTGGGTTTGAACCACCAGCCTTCTGGTTAGCAGTCAAGTGCTTTAGCCACTATGCTACCAGAGCAAAGAATCTTAGGTTCTCTTTAAAGACAAATGTGTGTTCCCTGGGCTTGTGAAGGCAGACATCAGAGACCCTCTGCAGCTAGTACTCCCTCTTTCAGATATTAACTATATTGGCCAGCATAGCCCCATCTGGGACAACATGGAGGTCACTCTGTGATATTGGCATAGAGGCTACTGCTTAATGTCCCCATTTGATCTTTTGTTCCCTGGCAATGAAAATTCCTGGATCTAGCACTATTTGTATTACAACCACCTTGCCTGTAACCCTGGTGGGGATTTCTTATTAGAGGGAAATGCAAAATAGCAAGCAATTCTGTTAATTTATTGTTCACAAGCAATAGTAAATTATTCTAATAACATTTCCATGTACTGTTCATACATTACAGCAAAGTGATTACAAGAAAATAGCTGCTTGCATGTCATACCAACATCTCTCAGCAATCACTGTCCTTACTGTTTTGGGTTTTTTTTTTTTTTTTTTACAATAAGTAATCGCCACTGTAGCTACTTCCTCTCCTTGGTCACACATCTCTCTTGTGCTCAAGAGGAGATTGTGCCATCGCATCAAGAAGCTTCATTATTCTTTTTATTTTTTTTTTTTCTATATTGAATCCTGAAACACTGATCTTTCTGTCCTAAGAAAACCAAGGGACTTTGTTATTATTTTTCAAGTAAAACCAAGTTCTCAGACTGTGTATTACTTTACAAGCTCTTTTTCTTGTGAATTTATGACTTTTGACATGATAGACGGTCCTGAATGCTGCATCATCCTCTCTGTACAAATCCACTGTTTACTAGTGTCAGCATCTTGCCTTCTCTTTAGCCTCCTTGGAAACATATGACCATCAGAACACACACTCGTGCACACAGTCTGTCCTGGACTCCTAGAATTATCTTTTCTTTTTTTTCATTTGAATACTGAGGTTTAGATTGAGGTCAAAGGAAGGAGAGAAGATGATTCTTCCCCCACACACACCAAGGGGGACAAAGCTGGCATAATGCTGGACTGCTATGGTTTCTTCTACCAAATCAAGAAATGGAGGGAACACAAAAGGAGTACTAGAACAATCCTGTCCGCCTACCGTACCCTCCTGTTTGGATCCTACCAGACTTGAACCCAGACCACCCGATTTCTGCCACCCCCACTCAAACCTGAGCACATAGGTTGTGCCAGGGTCCTGTATTAATGTAGGGGGCACACCACACCAGTTGCCACTGAATTGACTCTGACTCATGGAGATCCCCACATGTGTCAGAGTACAACTGTGCTCTGTAGGGTTTTCAGTGACTGATTTTTCAGAAGTAGAGCACCAGGCCTTTCTGTCAGGCCTTTTGGTTAGCAACTGAGCATGTTAACCCTTTTCACTGAGGCACAGTGAATCTGTACCCAGGGCTTCATGGCTCGTGTCTTCACGGAAGTCTCTCTTGTATATGAAGCATAGAGATGGGATTGAGTCATTAGTCAGTAAATATAAAGAATTGAAAGCCCCTTCATGTAGTGGGTCTCATGAAGTTAGGTATCCCTCAGAATGCTGTGAGTTTTTGCACTGAGACGACTTGTACACAAGAATCACTTACACAGGCTTCTCCTCAGCTCACTGTTCTGAATTAGTCCACATTCCACCCCCTGCATACTGCAGCTGAGTCATTTTACTCTTAGCTAAAGGCCAGGGAGGATTTGTTTGGGGCATGGGAGTGGGGATGTGTCCCTTTTTTTCTGGTTCATGGTTCTCACCAAAATATATTCCCAGTTTGCCCTAAAGTCTCTTCATATGTTAAAAAAAAAAATTTGCAGGCATGCAAGCTGAGCTCTTTATTTTGTGATATTTAAATGTTAGGTCACTGGAAACAGTGCAGAGCTGAGCAACAGCAAAACTGTGACCAGTGGATTAGAGCCACTAGCTTGTGCCAAGAGGGTGACTTCATTATGCTCAGAAAATAGATGACCAGGACAAATGGGAAATTCTTGGTGTTTGTCCTTAAACTCCAGACTGTCTTCTTCATCACTGCTCCAGGCAGAATTTATTTCCTTCTTCCCTCTCTGAGAAGTTAGGTGACTTGTAT